AGAGAAGTACGTTCCGGTATACCGACCGTACCCAGGGATACGTTCGGCAGTACCACCGGGGGACAATTAGACGCCTCTCAGCCTACACTACTAGTAGTAGTAGTTCATATGCAGGTGTGAGAGGGGGTGAATTCTTCTTTACTAGTGGCATTTCTGGTTTATTAGTTATGAAAACATAGTCCTTCTTAGATTGATTTTAGATTCTAGTTTAATCTAATATGTAGAATTAATATCGCTTATATATGGACTGAAGTTCATACCATTAGATAATTCATCTTATCAGATCCATGTCAGATTGATGCCCAGTGTCGGTAGCCACATCTTTTAATAGTACTAACTGTTACAGGCTGCTAGCGTACAAAGTCAGTGAAGAAAAAACATTGATGGCAAAAGCATTTTAGCATTCTATATAATATGGGGCACACATCTGTTATTTAGTATCATAAACTGGAAGTTTATACAGTAAGGCCATAATAAAAATATTGTTTGTTTGCCCTCACTTGACCGACCCGCCGAAAAGGAGCCGACTACAAAATATTTTATTGATCTTTTTTTTCAAAATTGTATCAGTGTACATATAAATCTGTAGTTTAAACATTATATCAAGAGCTCATAATAGAGAGATATTTATGACTCTTGATTGGATATAATTACTGTACCAAGCAAATACAAGTTACGATGTCCTATAGACGAAGGTTCCGCCCATACGCCGCAGAGGCCGATAGACCGAAGTTTATTCGAATACCGCAGTGCTACACGCCTCAGAATCGGTCGCTAGCCCTCCAAGGCTATCGCATCGCGGAGCATCCACTGATGCGCCGTATTCGATTACGTGAATATCACGTACTTCTACCGATGGCACTATAAATCATATGATGCGCACTATAAAACATATATATGCCCTAACCGCTAACCGCTAAGCTCTAACCCTAACTCTAACCCTAACACCTTTGCCCAAATACATCGCGTCTACGGGACGTCGTCTACGGATCCTTCGCGTCCTATAGGGCTGCCCCTGCAAAAACAAACATTCAACCATAAAAGGTATCTCCATACAAGCACACGCCAGCATGTAGATACCATAGCTGAATTTGTAAAAAGACTCCTTCAAAAAAAAAGGCCTACCTACTCTACCCAAACTTTTTCAGCCTGGGTGCGGGTGAGGGCAAACAAATATTTTTTTAATTGTGGCTTTAACATCTGAATTTATATTACGTTGGTTTTATTGTAATGCACGTTATCGTAATTGCGTGATAAAAACGTAATAATTGTGTCTTAGTATAACATCAAAAAATTATTATTTTATCCATAAATAATATTCCAATGCATGTATATCAGAGGGTGAATAATGACAGAATAAATCTCTCATTATTCCCCTTATGTATGTGCTTGTATTGGCTGCTATATCATGACTGAGCACGATTCTGTAGCTTGGTTATAGCATATTTTTCTGCTTATTATCAATATACTTTTTTTACACTATTGCTATCAGTTAGTATTAATTATTATGTATTTTAATTAATTTTAATTGGATTGGCGTTCTCGGATTTAGTTGCCTGTTCTGCTGTAGCGTAACTTGACCGAACGGCCGGTCCTACCAGCAGACAGGCCAGACAACTATTAGGCAGACCGGGACTTTCCCTTGGAACTAATTCACGTGCCACTAGTGCGGTTCATGTAGAATATTCCGTAATAATAATGAGGAAGTGTTAGTACCGTAGAAAAATACCTCCCCTGCTAAGCGCAACACATGTAAGTGTTCTGACGTTGGAGAGCTTGCTAGCTCATTTCTCACAAAATAAATATAATAATAAACAAGAAGGAACGGGAAGAGGAGGAGAGGAGGAGGAGGAGGAGGAAGGAGCAGAGGAGATAAGGTGAAGGAGGAGGAGAGGAGATGAGATGACAGCATGTACCTGGTAGTGGGAAGGCTATTCTGCAGTCAAATTTGTTCAGGTACATTGTAGTATGCCTTCATTAAATGGGTGGGTTGAGGTGGGTGGGGTGGACGTCTAATGGACTGGACGTCTTATAAACCGCGCAGTATATTGTATTTAAGCAAGCAACGAGGAGATTCTGTAGATTTGGGGCACTAAATAATTTTGTTTTTAGTTAAAAGGAGAGTAGCCCTAGCGATTTTTACTGCATACAACACTGTATTTACTGTAAAATAACAAATCGTCTATATCCCCACACGTATTTGCTACTAGATACCCTAATTTAATTGTTAAATTAATTACACATCAACGCCTACGAATTTGAACGGCGCATACACCCGGTCGCACGCGACCGGCTGCCACCCGAAAAAGTTGCGTATTTGACCATTTATTTTGCACGTTACAGACCGAGGCTAATCACAAAAGTGCAATTAATATTATACCTAAATGCTATTAACGGAACGATATTCATTTTAGGGCAAATTTATCCATAATTATAACTGAAAACTAATATGTCGTTTATAAGATATTACAATCTCTTTTGCTTTTAAATGAATAAATAAGAAACACCCTCGGTCTGTAGCCCTTGGCGGAAAGTGTTTTGCGCAGACTTATCAATCGTGCGCTTTTGAGTGGCGCCACGTCGTTGTAATCAAATGTAGTCGTTAGTTTTAAAACATTTAAAAAAAAAATATTTCTAATGGTGATTTGAACCATGAAACTTTTTATGTAGCGTAATTATAACCTAAATTAGCTGAAAATAACCCTAGAACCTAGAGTAAACTCTTCCTTTAAGTAAGCCATACTATAACATCAAGCGTTTATAATATAAAAACTAACAGCTATTTGTGCAAGTAAACTTAATTGCAGTTTGCATGCATGCATGCATCTGTTGTTTAGATAGATTGTGATAATTTTAGGTTTTTCCTATCTCGTAATATTACCTTGACATGTGTTTGCCCTCGATGCTAGACAGCAGCTGTTAACATCTCGATACTATACCCCCTCCCCCTCAATAAACAAGAAAAAATTGCACTTCGGGACATTAGACACAACTCCGCTGTGTTGATGTTACGCACATATATTATGTAGAAATGAAAGTAGCACAGAAAAATCGCGTTTATATCTGGGCGACACATTACTAGTGAATGGTACATCATTCAACAAGATCTATTCAATTAAGAACTAATTCGCACAGACGTTCTTACTATTTTTACAAGCAGTGATCGAGTACCGTGCTGCTGTCTATAGCTTAGTGCCGGAGTTTTCCACAATGCCTAATCACTCGTGAGTCTCTCACGCATGGCAGTCATTCGAGGGAACCGGCCCTCAACCTTTCGCCGCGACGCTTTTTTTTAATCCCAGCATTTATGTTTGTCTGGGTCCGTTACTTGGTTAACCTAGTCTGTGTGACCTCACTGCCCGGCGCGCCTGTGTCATAAAATGATAGCAAAAAAGAGTTGGACTGGTATATATATATATATATATATATATTTATCATATATATATATATATATTATTAATTGCACAAGGACTTGTTGAAGGTCTAAAGTGGTGATGAACTTGTGATGTAATGCACGGCTGCATTCGATAACAATATCGTTTCTTCTCGGACTGTTCATAGAAAGTGCCGATAATAGTGGCATTTATGTGCATGCAGCCTTGTGGAAAAATTTACGTCGACCTGCTGGTGCTCCTCCCTTACCCCTCAACCACACCCCATCGCCCTGCCTGGGTCCATCTGGTGTCTGTACGTGCGTGGGATACTAACACTGTCTCGACCGCGAGAGGCCTTTGTGCTGGTTCTGTTTTGGCTGAGCCATGCTAGCGAGTCTGTCTGTGTTTGTTGTTGGAGGGAGAGAGGGAGAGGAGCTTGGCATTCTCGCGTACTAGGGAGATAGAGACCAGACTGACTGACTTCCCCGCTCCGTGTGCTAGGCATGACGGCTAGATTCGACAGAGGCTGATAAGCTGTGGGCGCAGGGAGGCTTGTATATATTGTTTACGCGCGCGTGAGTTACGGGCGCACGGACACCTGTACTTCGCATGCTTGTCGCGGACGTACAATGTATGCAATCACACACGGTGTGTGTATGTTATATGTGTGTATGCACGCCGCAATATCGACGTGGATCTACAACTGTAAACGACTGCGTGTGTGCTAGTCGAGCGAGTTCGAGCCGTAACGTCGATGACTGTTCACTGACTGCGTGAGATCAACACGTGTGTGAGCCAGTGCTCAGACGGTGTCAGCGTTTGATTGACATACGCGCCGTCGCCGGCGACGACGGTGTTCGTGCGTCCGTTGCCCCGGCCATGTGCAGCGCCGTCGCCGTGTTTTGTTGATTGCTAATGGCAACGATGAGCGGAGGCGGCCGACGTCGGGTAATCGAACTATCACTCGTCATGCCGTAGTATCAGGAGCTAATAATAATGACAAACTATTTGTCATTATTACTATTAGCTCCTGGTAGTATCTACGAGTCGCGTGTTCACGTTATTACTTGCTTGCCTGCAGTATGTAGAATTGTGCGGGCGGCGTGCGTGCGTGCGTGCATGCGTGTCTGTGTGCGTGCATGCGTGTCTGTGTGCGTGCATGCGTGTCTGTGTGCGTGCGTGTCTGAGTTTGAACAGCGTCGGCTGTGTGGAGGGGAGATGGTGCTTGTTGAATTGAGGTGCATACAATTTATATAACTGTTGGGTGTTGTTGCTTTGGTTTTGGTCTTGGTGGCAGGTATTCACATACGGTCTGTTACCCATGCTTAATTGGTAATTTGTGCTGAAACCCCCAGTTTTGTAGCTGTACTAGGTTTCATTACAGTTATGTGATCAATGCTTGGGAATAAATCATGCAACTTGTGTAGTTTATTTAAAACGTTATTTATTATTCTATTTTTATTCTATTTTATTGATATATGTGGTATATTTTAATATTTTTGAACAGTTTTCTGTTATCCCGTTAATCTTATTTTATAGCTATTAGTACAATTTGAATAAATCACCGTTACATTGTGATTTATGTAACCGTTGTGTCATAATTTTTTCACATTGTATATTTTTCAGATGTTTCCAGGACAAATAACTATTCACACGGACATCTTCACTCCTCGTAACTTTCAGGTGCGTAAGACTGTGTAACTGTCATTATGATTATGTGAAGTTTCACTGGTAAATGTTGATGAGTAACATCAAGAACATTTCTATACTATATGTACCTAACGGCCTACAGTTGGCCGCCCAATATTGATCTAATGCCCGCATGCTATCTGGGTATACTATAGGTATGCTCATGCTAAATTTTGGTAATTGGTAAAGTATGAGAGTAAGTGCTGTGGCAGTACATAACTTGAACACAAACATGTGCTGTACTTAAACCATAGTTGTAAATCACCCTCACCCTCACCTTCACCTTCACCCTAACTGTCACCATCACTCTCACTCTAAGCGGCAACCCCAACCTGGCACTGTTCCTAATCTTGATCCTAATATAAACACTAACCCTAAGTTAGCTATGACCCTACCCTATTCATAACAGTAACCTAACCCAGTCATTACCCTAACATGATACTAACCCTACCCTAACCACGGCACTAATCCTAACCCTAACCTAACTCCAATTTCTAACATTATCCTAAGCCTACCACGTACAAGAGTTTTGCAGCAGGATTAGCATTAGCATCAATGCTTTTACGTTTCTGTTGAAACTGCTGAACACTAGGTGGAGCTGCTAGATACGGCCAAGCAGAAGAACACGATAGTATGTCTCGACACGGGAACAGGAAAGACGTTCATCGCTGTGATGCTCATCAAGGAACTTGCTCATGACATCCGACACCCTTGGGAAGATGGAGCGAAGAGAACGTTCTTTCTCGTTCCGACTGGTACGCATTTTTACAAGTACAGTAAACGCTCTTCACTGTGCCTTTTCAATAGCGTGTGAACAAACAGTATCAAACTTTGATTAACTGTTGTGATTGAGCAGGGACTACGTTATATGTATGTGGTAATTTGTTTCTGAACATACAGTGCCTCTGGTGCAGCAGCAGGGAGGGGTTGTGGAGAGGCACACTGGCTTGAAGGTGGGGCAGTTCATTGGTGCCATGGGTGTGGATCTCTGGAAGGATGAGCAGTGGACTGAGCAGTTCAAGAAGTATCCGGTAGGGTATCTTTCAGAAGCATTTGTAGATTTTTATTACCTGCCTCTCATTTGGAGAGATATAGTATTTCTATTCGACTTGATTCAACTTCGATTTCTATTTTTGTCTGCTACACGCTACATCTCCAATAAACGTTTTCCGTATCTATATTTACGAATTTACCCTTTTCTCTTTCTCATGGTTTGCATGATTCAATTGTAGCACTGATCAGGTAAATTTGGTTGATATTGGTTTTATTTTAATTTGTTTAATGTTGCTAGAGCAGTGCAGTTCCAATTTTTACTTAGTGTTTGGTAATTGTAAACACACGAGATTTGTGTTTTTTGAAAATACACATAGAAGATAGTATTATAGCCTGTCATTTGTCATGTAAGTTTTTGGTTTCGATCACATTTCAAATAAGCAGCCGTTTAAAATTTCAATGCAAGGCTGTGTATGTAGCATTTGCTCTAATCTTTAATAAAAATTAAAAATTTTTGTTGCCACTGTACTACATGTCTCTGTGTTACCATCGCTAGGTTAATGTCAGGCCTCTTGTTTCATTGTAATAATGTAGCCACCATGTTAATATTGTTCTCATAAACGTGCCGAAGATAGAGAAATCCAGGCCGCTTGTCTGATCTGCTTTATAATAGCGGCCATACTATTATTATTAGCTGTTATCATTACCATTGTTATCGAGTATTGTGATATTTTTATAGTCGAGCTAGATTGATCTGTCAAAAAGATACTTTGACAATACATTGATTAATCAGTGATGGAATACAATAAAGGATTGACATCGTTAAGCTCATGAGTGGATTAATCACCTGCGCTGCTTCCCTGCGCAGGTGTTGGTGATGACCGCACAGATATTCTTGGACATTCTGCTGCATGGCTTCCTCAAGCTGTCACGTGTCAATCTCATTGTCTTTGATGAGTGTCATCATGCCAAGAACAACCATCCCTACAAGTTGGTATAAAGTTATTTGCTAAAATATTTGTCCAAACCATATAAAATTTGTGTACGAATTTCTCGGCCCACAGAATAACACGTGCCAGCCGACAAGATAAGCCATAACTTATCGTGAGTTATTTCCGGGAGAAACCTCTAGGTTATTAGCTACGTTTATTTTCAACTTCTACATGTGTTTTGGGGGATGTGTTTTTAATTTAATGGTGTGTCGTTTGGCTAGGAAATACTATTGCTCAAGTAAAGAGTTGAGCAACTAAAGCAGTTTGCATTTTTAACTGTGCTATGCCATAATTTTTCCATTTTCTTTTTAATCGTCAATAATATTAATGAGCAGCTGATCAGTTTTGTTGTATTATAGTTTGTCTCATTTGTGAATTTCCTTTGCTTTCTACATGACTGGAATGTTCTGTGTGCTAACCAACTGTTTTCCACACGTGAGTTAATGAGTTATTTATGCTACACAGACAGATAATGAAGATGTTTGACATGTGTGCGTTCGATCAGCGCCCTCGAGTGTTGGGCCTGACAGCCTCCGTCGTCAGTACCAAGTGCCATCCATCCAAGGTATAGAAGCAGTTAATAATCATGCTGATGTTGCATGTATAATCTACTACTGTAGCTCATGGGTCCATGTATTAAACTGCTTCACTAAACTTGTGACACCAAATGCCGTAGTGCAGTCTGTTTTTCATTTCTAAATGTGTAAGGTAAGGAGCATTTACAAAACATTTACTGATCAAATTTAGCAACTCATTGTACCTTGTAATTAATCACGAGGTTGTTCTTAATATCAAAATGTCGACACATCTTGATGACAGAGTAAAACCTAATTGCAGTGGTTGTTACATGGATTTACTTTTAAAATTAATTGTATAATTTTTTTGTATAATTTCATGAGATGTCTATGGCAGTTCTTCCTTTTGATTATAGGTGTCAGCTTCTATCCACCAGCTTGAGAGTGCTCTAGGTTGTACAGCTGAGACCTCTAGTGACCTATTAGACATTAGTAGGTGTGTAGCAACCAGCTATAACATCATGCTGCTTAATCGTCGCTTGATATCGTTTTTGCATAAATGCTGCATGCAAATATTATTGCATATATTCGTAACCACGTGTTAAAAATGTTTTCTGCCACACGAGTACCATCTAGTAATAGCGTCGTTCTACCTAACGTGTGTGCTACCGGAAGTGATAGCTGCACCATATTACCCATCTAAGCATATTTTTCACCTGTAATTAGGGTTATCAAGCCAGCTCACAAATAAGACTAATTGCGCGTATATTTTGCAAGTGATTAAACTCACCTAAATCAGAATATGCGATACAGGACTACTAATTCTTGTTGGTTGGTGGTAAGTCAAAATTATCAGGAGCTCATAGTCAAATAATCTATATAGTGTTGATTTCATGTACGGACAGGTATGGAGCTCGACCTCACGAGTACGTTATATATTATCCACTGTCTGGAAAAGAACCGGCACGAATGGAGATATTGAGTTTACTCGCCCGTAATATCCAGTTCTTGGAGGATGCGAAACTGAAACTTGAAGAGAAACCAGAGGTACATCATTGCATCCCGACTCCTGTCCTATATGTGACCTCCACTCATATATATATATCATGTGACCTATATGTCCTATATGTCCTATATTTCCTATATGTCCTATATGTCCTCTATGTGACCTCCAATCATTCTTTTTTCGCTTTATTCATTCATCTTTCAACTTCCCCCATTCTCTCGTTTTACTAATATGAGCCTCTGGCCTCTACTCCTCTAAAAATGTTTGTGACGTTCAGATGTTCATTTCCTATCAGACCACATGGTTGTAGACCAGTGGTTGGTATGTTTTCCCCATAATCTATGTTGAAGTTGGCCGTAATTAACAGTGGATGTTAATTTCATAGGATGAGAAAGTCCAAGAGCCACTGGTCATCCCTAAAACAGTGCTACGAGAGACACAGTATATTCTCACTCACCTGGGACCATGGTGTTGCGACAAGGTGGCACTTTGGTACATACGTGACCTCGAAAAACTTCTGAAGAGGTATGCTACTGCAGTTGGTAGTTTTTGTCTTGGTGATTAATTGGTATTCTAGTAGCTAATTCATAGCACCGTTGCATTGAAATTAGTTGGTTAGTAGTAATTTTGAGTTAGTAGAGGTTGGGCAGTCCTCTTTGCAAGATATCCATTTCGACGTGTATGAGAGATGTCTTGGTATCGTAATCAAATCCTGAAGTATGGAGATGAGATTCATCTGTTGGCAGGTTTGGATACATAGAGATTAACCGAATGTTCATGCAGTACACACAGACAGTTCTGAGGACAGTTAGAAAACTGTGCCACGACTCTTACTTGAAGGTAATGTCCACTTACTTCTGATATCATTTCGGCATAGTTCATTGTTGTATTATTGCTAATGTGTTCATATTATGGCCAAATATTTAATGTCTTTATTTAATGAGTATTACGGAAATACGTAGAACAGGTTGGTGTTATATATATATTATTCCCATATGTATTGGTTACGAATGGTTACAGGAGCTAGTCGATGGCGTCTCCCTCTTGAAGTTTGCATCTCCCAAGCTCAGGCGTCTTGTCGAGATATTCGCTGAATACAAGCCAAGTGAAGAAGAAGTAGCACCACCTAGTGAGGAAAAACCTAGCAGGTATGAAACCCGAATCAAGAGAGACAGGGATATGAAATCAATTGCGGGTTGCCCTATGAATTTTATTTTATATGATTGGCACACAGCATATTACACGTTAATGTATATATTATGTGATATATATTATATACATGTGTGTCCATGAGTGTGTACGTGCATGCGTGCATGTGTTATTTTATTGTAATGTGGATACGCACACAGCCATATAAACATCATGTCTGACACAGCTCATACACAAACGGGTATTTTTGCAGGAGGGACAGAGAGAACGATGACAGCCTGTGTGGCATTGTGTTCGTAGAGCACCGATCCACTGCGAACGCAGTCTGCTCGTTCCTACGGGAGCTGAGCAACCGAGATGCCAACCTCGGCTTTATCAAGGCTGAATTTGTGGTGGGGCACGGTACGCAGAGCGCCTCCAAGGAGTCCGTGATGAGATTCCGGCAGCAGGAGGAGGTGAGCATGCATTTAGTGTGAGCTTCCGCGTGTCAAGCAAAGATACGATAATGTGACGAAGCAGAGCAGTGGTTATATGCTGCTGTGATCTGCCAGGTCCTGCTATCATGTCTACGTCAGTCATAGGCAGCGAGACTAGGTTAGCGTGTGTTATGTGCAGGTTTTCAGGGCAGACATAGGCAGCGAGACTAGGTTAGCGTGTGTTATGTGCAGGTTTTCAGGGCAGACATAGGCAAAGAGACTAGGTTAGCATGCGTTATGTGCAGGTTTTCAGGGCAGACATAGGCAAAGAGACTAGGTGAGCATGTGTTATGTGCAGGTTTTCAGTGCATACTTCACTGGCAGACATAGGCAAAGAGACTAGGTGAGCGTGCGTTATGGGCAGGTTTTCAGCGCATACTTAACTGGCAGACATAGGCGAAGAGAGCCAGCTAGCATGTGGTTTAGTATGGACTTTGCTGTGTCATGCATAGCCAACTGCAATTTCATTTCATAGGCTACCATCACATTCCTTCCATCTGCAGGTGCTGAAGAAGTTCCGTAACCACGAGTCAAACTTACTGATTGCTACAAGCGTTATTGAGGAAGGAGTGGACGTCCCACACTGCAATCTCGTCGTTAGGTAAGCCTTCGCAGACTCGCCATACCTGACAGGATCCGTATAATGGCTATGTCGATCGTAGTGTATTCTATGAGTTAAGCGTCTTGCAGATTGAAGATATTCCAGAAAGGTACTCATGAAGGCACACGCAAGCACCGTCATCAGGCAAGTTGTTTTTCTCACAGGTTTGATCTGCCTAAAGAGTATCGCTCGTACGTTCAGTCGAAGGGTCGAGCGCGGAAGTCTGGAGCCAGGTTTGTAATGCTGATTCCAGAGGGTGACATGGACGATTTCCGGAACGACCTGAAAAACTACCATGCTACTGAGGAAGTATGCATTTTATATCAGCATTCTTAGGTTGAAAGTACTGTAATACCCTATGTTACGCTAACTTGGGTTAATAATTAGTCATTAATACATGCAAATGTTTAGTAGTATTTACTTGCATTCATAATTGCATATGTTTGAAGAGATAACGGGTTTACCTACTTGTTTTAAATGACAACTCTTCATTGGAACTCATCTTTCTCTATCTCTCTCTTTCTGTCTCTCTCTTTATATATATATATTTATAGAGAGAGAGAGAGAGAGAGAGAGAGAGAGAGAGAGAGAGAGAGAGAGAGAGAGAGAG